GGATGTCAGTGAGTCAGAACCCAGTTCTAAATGGTCTGCATTCTCCACCTACATTGTCTCTTGTGAAATGTGCTTCCACCCAAAGAGAACCCAAAATATCAGTTCATCAATGCTCTAGTTATTGAGCATGGCCAGGGAATGAGGAATTGCAAAGAAGGGAATTTTCTAGACAGCTAAAATGTAACCCTCCCTTAACTTTTATGTTTTTAACTTTGTTAACAACAAGGTTTCCAAAGTGTATGATATACATCCATGTTTTCTTAAGCAGAGACTCCCAACCATACTTTGACTTTTTTCTTGAAGAAATAGTGATACTTATCAATATTGAGTATAGTTGTATAATCATCAAGGCTTTTAAAATCCACGGAGAGGTCACACTCATACCAAGTGGTCCATGACTAGTATGATTTTGTTTCTTCTATTTGTTTTTTTAATAATTTTTACCTTTTCATTGTTGCATTTAACAAGATGCAACATTTAATGTGTTGTATGTCATCAACCAGAGACAACCACTCTTTCTGTCAGCTGTGGTCTTCTAAGTTGCTGTGTGTTGTGAAATTGGATGACTGAGTTTATTAAAATTGTATGCAGAAAAGAGTAAATAAAGTTTGAATGAAGGATTTAGGGCATCTCCTATAATTCTAACCTAATGATATCCTATCTTATTCCAAAGAACATTTAAGGAGCTTAGAAAACCCAGAAAACTAAATTAGAATTAATAATTATCAATATTTATAATAGTGATACTAAGTAAATAAATCAGGATGAGAGGAACCAATGAAGCCGGGTGAGTTTGGAAATGCATGCAGGATGTCCTGGGCACATGCTAGAGGTGGGCACCTGAGTAAGTGCAAGCTTTCTACACCTATTGTATGAAAAACTGGGCTTTGGTTTTGATTCATGGGTTTTGTAATGTTCCACTTATTTCAGTGTTCATGATTGTGTTTAAGTTGGAAGCTGCTGGAAATCTGAACCCTTAAATGTGTCAGACGTTGCTGTGCTTTGACACTGCATTTTATTATTGAGCAGGCTGTGGGCAGTAATCCAGGTAACATTCCTCACCTTGCTTCATGCCCCACATTCATGCCTGTTGATGAAGGACCCCTCCTATCTCCCTGAGTCAGGTAGAACTTGTCAGGTAGGACTTGTGAAATATGAAGGCTGGTTCACCGACTGACTTACCTTTTCACATAAACACATGTCACTAAGGGCTGTGAAGCATAAGATCTGTGGTTAACAGCGGATACCTAAATAGGAGCTGGAATTCCACTCAAGTGGAGCTGGAATGTGTGTAATTTGATACACAAAGAAAAGGCAAAGGGAACTTTTAGAGCTTGACAAGGTAAGGTTTAGATCCTTTGGAAAAAGAATCTCAAGGCTCTTAGCTTTGTATGAAACTGCTGTCCTTAAAAAACACCCTGGTATCCCTAAGGCTGAGGTGCCATGGGTATTTTCTACAAGTGCTAGTTCAAGTGGCCTCCAAAACTGCAGCTAGTTCTTTGCTCACAGAGACAGCTAGTGGAACCATGCAGCTCCACATGGCCCCCTCCTCACCCCGCCACCTTGGACCCAGGCAAGGGGGGAGCTCCAGGCCCTGCCCCACTGCCCCGAACTGGTACCATGCAGGTGAGCCTGCTGGCGCCAGCCAGCCAGCAGAACCCCATGGCTCCATGTGTCCCCTCATCCCACCTTAGACCCAGGGGGGAGTACCAGCCTACGGATCTGACCCACCAAGTTTGACCCAGCAGAACTCCATGCATTAGGGGCTCATTCTATGACCACAGAGTCTCGAACGGGAACCAAGTTGGTTTAATATAACCACCACCACAACTACTGTAAGTAAGACAATTCACCCCCCACAGTAGCAACCAAGGCCACTCCACAGCCAACCTCAGTGTAATANCTGAAAAAGAATTTCAAGTAATGATCTTAAGAAAACTTGAAGAAATAAAGGAAGACTCAATCAGAGGACACAATGAAATAAGAAAGACATCCAGAATATGAAGGAGGAAATCTACAAAGAGATTAATACCATAAAAAAGAGTGTAGCAGAACTTCCAGAAATGAAAGACTCACTGAATGAAATAAAAAAACATGACTGAGAGCTTGAGCAGCAGGGTAGAGTAAGTGGAAGAAAGAATTTCAGAGCTTGAAGATGGTCTTTTTGGAATAACTCAGGCAGACAAAAAAAAAAAAAAAAAAAAAAAAGGAAAAAAGAATTAAAATCAACAAGGAAAACCTAAGAGAGATAGCAGACAATTTCAAGCACTCTAACATCCGAATTGTGGGTATTCCTGAAAGGCAGGAGAAGGGAAAAGGTATTGAAAACCTACTCAAGGAAATAGTAAAAGAAAACTTCCCAGGTGTAGGGTGAGATACAGACCTTCATATCGAGGAAGCTCAAAGGTCCCCAAACATATTCAACCCAAAAATATCCTCCCCAAGACATACTATAGTTAAATTCGCAAAGCTTAAAGACAAAGAGA